CTTATGTTTACATTAACTCAGATAACGGCAGCATCTACAGCATGCACTCGTTTGACTATGAGAAACTGAAGGTGTTTCAGATCCAGGTTCAGGCAAAGGATCAGGGCTCTCCGTCTCTCAGCAGCAACACCACTGTCCATGTTTTTATCCTGGACCAGAACGACAATGCCCCTGCTGTTATTTACCCCTCCTCCGCTGTCCTGGGCTCCCTCTCTCACCAGAGGATGCCTCGCTCCGCTAAAGCGGGTCACCTGGTTACTAAGGTGACGGCCGTGGACGCTGACTCGGGCCATAACGCCTGGATCTCCTACAAACTGGCGGAGGCCACAGACGCCTCTCTGTTCACTGTCAACCTGTACACAGGGGAGGTGAGGACTAAACGCGCTACGTCCGAGCAGGACGACTCCTCTCAGAGGCTGCTTATAGAGATCAAGGACGACGGGGAACCGATGCAGTCCGCCACCGTCACGGTGTCCATCCTGCTGGAGGACGGCCTCCATGAGCCCATCTTAGACCTCCGACAGAAAGCGGCCGAGCCCAGCAGGAAAACTGGGAGAATCACCCTGTATTTGATTCTCTCTCTGGCCTCGGTGTCCGTGCTGTCTCTGGTGACTTTTCTCATCTTAGCGGTTAAATGCATGAGGAACAGCAGCAGCAGCGGTAGTTGCTGCATGAGACGCAGCGACTGTGATAATTACAAGAACCCCAACAGAAACATGCAGATTCAGCTCAACACTGATGGACCTATAAAGTATGTGGAGGTCCTGGGAGGAGACATGATGTCTCAGAGTCAGTCCTTCCGGTCCTGCATGTCTCCAATGTCATCAGAGTACAGTGATTTCACTTTGATTAAGCCCAGCAGCACCACTGACTTTACGGAGGTGATCAGTGTTCTGGATGCTTCTTTACCCGACAGCACCTGGACCTTTGAGAGCCAGCAGGTGAGCAAAACATAATGCAGATTATGAGTCCACATATCTATCCATCAATCCATCTATCCATCAATCCTCAATCCTCATCAATCTCACATTCCCATATTCATTTCTGAATAATTCAGCACCACACCGCTGGATAGCGACTCTTGGATTGCAGGGGATGCTTAGGCACAACGTGTGTGTCTTTGTGCATATGTATTTGCTTTGTGCTGATCATCTCTTCAAGGGAACAATAGTTTTCTTTCTGTCCTGGGCTTGTTTCTAGTGATTGGTTGAATAAAGATATCACTGTGGAAATGTTAGATTTGTTTACAATGTAAGCTGATTTAGCCAGACTCTCTTTCTTTCTGCCTTTCTTTTTTTTCTTTTTTCTCTCTTTCTTTTATTCTTTCGTTATTGTTTTTTTGTTCTTTCTTTAACAAAATATGGATTTAATTAAAATTATATATAATATTAAATATTAGTTGATATATTATTTTAAAGTGGCATACCATTGAATGTTTGGCTACCCGTAAGTGTCAAAACAAAAGTGTTGGTCAAACTAAAAGGGCAAAATGAAAATAGACGCTGCCACTTTAAGAGGTGTCGATCTGTTTCCCTCTCATTGGATGGTAGATGCGGATGCTTTGCACCAATAGGAGTCAGAACTGTACAACGCAATCTAGTCCCTGCCCCCATGCAGCCTCCGAGCTGTAACATTGAGACAGCAAAGTGATCGAGGAGAGACGGCAATGGGCTCGTTTTTATAATGTAGAAATCGTATAATTCATCGTAGAGCCATGCTCAGTCATTTTGGGAAATCACTGGAGTAATACCTGCGATGATGAATTTCACCATCGTTCTATCGAATATGTCGTTTGGATTGTATATGTTATAGCGGACTAAGGATGACAAAGACAATAGGATACCGAGACTGGAGATGGCAGGCGCTTTGGTGGCATTATTTCTTTCTCTTGTGGACAACAATAAACGGACAGACTCGGTACAGCATCCCGGAGGAATTAAAACAGGGCTCTGTTGTAGGAAATCTAGCCAAAGATCTGAGTCTCGGACTATCAGACATTTTAGATCGTGAAATGCATATCGCCTCTGAGGCTGGAGAGCAGTATTTCAGTGTGGATGCAGCGAAGGGCGAGCTGGTGGTGAATGATAGAATAGACAGAGAGGCTTTATGTGGACAAAGCGCCAGCTGTGTTTTAACTCTGCAAGTAGTTGTTCAAAATCCTTTGCAGTCTCATCGTATTGAAGTGGAAATTAGAGATATAAATGACAATTCTCCTAATTTTCTTACACAGGAAATTAACCTTAAAATACCAGAATCAGTGGCTCTTGGCAGACGTTTTCCCTTGGAAAGTGCAAAAGACCCTGATGTTGGAAGCAATTCTTTAAAAACGTACTCCCTGAGCAAAAACGATTATTTTTCTCTTAAATTTAAAGACACAAAAAACGGTAAGGCTGTACCAGAATTGGTGTTAGAAAAGCCATTGGACCGGGAAAAGACTGCTCTCCATCAGCTTTTGTTGACTGCATTAGATGGAGGTAACCCTGTTAAATCTGGAACCTGTACTATTATTATCACTGTACTTGATAACAACGACAATTTTCCAATATTCAATGAAAATGAGTACAAAGTGTCTTTGAAGGAGAACAGCACCAAAGGAACATTTGTGATCAAACTTAAAGCTTCAGATGCAGACGACGGTGTTAATGGTGAAGTTACATATGATTTTGGGTCTCGCACTCCAGACTTTGTCTTATCAACATTTGATATTAATGAAATAACAGGACAAATCACATTAAAAAGAGCATTAGATTATGAGAGTGCTAAATCATACCTTATCGATATAACTGCTAAAGACAGGGGCATTCCCGAAATGGAGGGTAACTGTCGTGTACAGTTGGACATAGAGGACATAAATGATAATGCTCCAGAAATTGTGCTTACATCAAAACCTAGTCATGTGCCCGAGGACGCACCAAGTGGCACAGTTGTGGCTTTAATCAGTGCACGAGACTTTGACTCCGGAAATAACGGTAGAGTGACGTTACAGCTTCCAAAACGGTCTCCTTTCACTCTGAAACCGTCCTACTCTAATAATTACCAGCTGGTCACTAGTGGTGCTTTGGACCGAGAGAGTTTCTCAGAATATAATATTGAGATAACAGCCACTGATTCAGGCTCTCCTCCTCTGTCCAGTAAGAAAAGCATACCTGTCAGCATCAGTGATGTGAATGATAACCCCCCTATGTTCACTCAGCCATCCTATAATGTGTATTTAAAAGAGAATGGGGTGCCAGGTTCTATACTGTACTCAGTATCAGCGTCTGACCTTGATTTTGGTGAAAACGCTAAAATCTCCTACTCCATCTTGGACTCTAAAGTGCAGGACGTTTCTGTCTCGTCTTATGTTTACATTAACTCAGATAACGGCAGCATCTACAGCATGCACTCGTTTGACTATGAGAAACTGAAGGTGTTTCAGATCCAGGTTCAGGCAAAGGATCAGGGCTCTCCGTCTCTCAGCAGCAACACCACTGTCCATGTTTTTATCCTGGACCAGAACGACAATGCCCCCGCTGTTATTTACCCCTCCTCCGCTATCCTGGGCTCCCTCTCTCACCAGAGAATGCCCCGCTCTGCTAAAGCGGGTCACCTGGTTACTAAGGTGACGGCCGTGGACGCTGACTCGGGCCATAACGCCTGGATCTCCTACAAACTGGCGGAGGCCACAGACGCCTCTCTGTTCACTGTCAACCTGTACACAGGGGAGGTGAGGACTAAACGCGCTGCGTCCGAGCAGGACGACTCCTCACAGAGGCTGCTTATAGAGATCAAGGACGACGGGGAACCGATGCAGTCCGCCACCGTCACGGTGTCCATCCTGCTGGAGGACGGCCTCCATGAGCCCATCTTAGACCTCCGACAGAAAGCGGCCGAGCCCAGCAGGAAAACTGGGAGAATCACCCTGTATTTGATTCTCTCTCTGGCCTCGGTGTCCGTGCTGTCTCTGGTGACTTTTCTCATCTTAGCGGTTAAATGCATGAGGAACAGCAGCAGCAGCGGTAGTTGCTGCATGATGCGCAGTGACTGTGATAATTACAAGAACCCCAACAGAAACATGCAGATTCAGCTCAACACTGATGGACCTATAAAGTACGTGGAGGTCCTGGGAGGAGACATGATGTCTCAGAGTCAGTCCTTCAGGTCCTGCATGTCTCCAATGTCATCAGAGTACAGTGATTTCACTTTGATTAAGCCCAGCAGCACCACTGACTTTACGGAGGTGATCAGTGTTCTGGATGCTTCTTTACCCGACAGCACCTGGACCTTTGAGAGTCAGCAGGTGAGCAGACAGTAACATAATCTTGTATATACGCAAAAAAAACATTATTTGTATCCTGTTTTTTGTCTGCTTTATCTGAGAGATTAATTTCATGACAAGTTGTTTAAGCATTATTTCTGTCATATTCATATTTTCAAAATGATTGAGAGCTTTACAGCATTCAGCAACACATTCTCACACATGTAAACGTTTTTTTTTTTTTTAAACATCCGTTAAACAAAACAAAAACCTAACAATTAATTTGAAATATTTAAGAATCAAAACTGTCACATACTGCTTCAGCACATTTTAAGTTTTTAGATAAATCTAAACCCTTAGTTGTTGTAGGGATGCATTAAAGCGTTTGTTTTATTGGATGACTGTCATAACAGTCACGCCAAGAACAGTAATTGTAAAGATGTGCAAATGAAACATAATATTGTAAACTCTTAAATTAATATCTAAGCATGTCCTCGAAGACTGATGTTCCATTTAGGTGACTTTGTCTTTGTATCCATTTCATATTTAGACACATTGCAAATGTATGTGAATTTAATTATCGAAATTACAGTATATATTATTTTTCGGGAAGTGTTAACCATACATATCAAAATAAATGAAAAATGTTTTTCCAATAAAAAAATATATATTTATAAAATAATGTATTGTTCAGTTATAAGCACCATATTCCACTGTTTCATAGTTTTTAGTTGGAATGCTTGGTCTGGAAAACAGTGCCGTTTCTATCTTGTTCAATGTTGGTCGATGCTGTGCACCAATAGCACTGCAGTTGTACAAAGAGATCTACTCCCTCCCCCATCCATCCTCACCACTGTAGTCAGTAATGCTTCGAGCCCGAGATGAGAGGATGAGGCGTTTAAACGCTCAGATTTGATAATATGCATTTATTTTTCATCTCATGGTGCCTATATATGGAGCTTTCTGGAATACAACATATTCGTTGTTGATGGATTTTCGCGTTGGCCTTCATATGCTGAACAATATTTCGATGGGATATAACGTTGTATTGTAAGGACCGGGATGACAAAGAGAATGGGATACCGAGACTGGAGATGGCAGGCACTTTGGTGGCATCATTTCTTTCTCTTGTGGACTACAATAAACGGACAGACTCGTTACAGCATCCCGGAGGAACTAAAACAGGGCTCGGTGGTAGGAAATCTAGCCAAAGATTTGGGTCTCGGACTATCAGAGATTTTTGATCGTAAACTGCGTGTCGCCTCTGAGGCTGGTGAGCAGTATTTCAGTGTGGATGCGGGGAAAGGCGAGCTGGTGGTGAATGACAGAATAGACAGAGAGGCTTTATGTGGACAAAGCTCAAGCTGTGTTTTACCTCTGCAGGTTGTAATAGAAAACCCGCTACAGTTGAACCGGATAGAAGTTGAAATAAGAGATGTAAATGACAATGCTCCAAGTTTTCTCAAAAGCGATAACATATTAGAAATCGCTGAATCAACCGTTGTAGGTGTTCGTTTCCCCTTAGAGAGTGCAGAGGATCCCGATGTTGGGAGTAACGGAGTAAAGACGTACACACTAAGCAAAGATGATTGCTTCACTTTAAAAGTTAAAGAAATTGAAAATGGACGTAAAATTCCAGAATTGGTATTGAGTAAATCCCTTGATCGCGAGAAAAAAGTAATACACGATTTATTTCTTACTGCTATGGACGGAGGCAATCCGGCCAAGTCTGGAACTTCAAAAATAACTGTCAATGTGCTTGATGTCAACGATAATGTGCCACTATTCGAAAATACGTTTTATAAAGTCGCTGTTCAAGAAAACAGTTTAAATGGCTCATTTGTAATTAAAACAAAAGCAACAGACATAGACGAGGGTCCAAATGGAGAAATTGAGTACTCGCTTGGTAAACACACACCACCATCAGTGCTGTCACTATTTCATATAGATACTGTAACGGGAGACATTTATTTGAAAAAAGAGCTGGACCACGAAACTCAAGCTTCATATAGAATAGACATTAGTGCAAAAGACAAAGGCTTTCTTAAAATGGAGGCTCACTGCAGTGTGCAAGTCGATGTCTTAGACGTTAATGATAACCCACCAGATATTGTTCTGACTTCAAAACCTACTGCTCTTCCCGAAGACTCTCGCAGTGGAACAGTAGTTGCTTTGCTTAGCGTCCGTGACCTCGATTCCGGTGACAACGGTAAAGTGACGTTAAAACTTCCCAAAAGTTCTCCGTTTAATCTGAAAGCATCATTTTCTAATAATTACGCACTGGTTACAAGTGGTTCATTAGACAGAGAAAGATTTTCAGAGTATGATATCGAGATAACAGCCACTGATTCAGGCTCTCCTCCTCTGTCCAGTAAGACAATTATACCTGTCATCATCAGTGATGTGAATGATAACGCCCCTTTATTCACTCAGCCATCCTATAATGTGTATTTAAAAGAGAATGGGGTGCTAGGCTCTATACTGTACTCAGTATCAGCATCTGACCTGGATTTTGGTGAAAACGCTAAAATCTCCTACTCCATCTTGGACTCTAAAGTGCAGGACGTGTCTGTCTCGTCTTATGTTTACATTAACTCAGATAACGGCAGCATCTACAGCATGCACTCGTTTGACTATGAGAAACTGAAGGTGTTTCAGATCCAGGTGCAGGTGTCAGTACCAGATATGTTCGGCCTACCAAATATGTTCGGGTGTATTTCCGTCGCATCCGTCATCCGTCATATCCGTCATATACTCACCTCCCTCTGCTCCCAGCGCTATGCTGCCACACACCGGCCGTCTGCGGAACTGCAGCCGGAGGAACTCGGTACAGCTTGTTATGTGTGTGTACTTAATTATTTACAATTAAAAAATATATATATTCTGCGTTACTTTAGCCAACACTTTTATAATATATAAGCCTGATCATGTCGTTGAAAGCAAGTACAGATGTTCTCCCTTTTCCACAGTTCTGTGTGAACTTCATCTAAGGTAGATGCTTTGCTTCTGCACCAGTTTAGCAGAAGTCTGTTTTGTAAGACTGGTTTTGTTGCAGTCTGTTCATGCTATGTGTTTCTTGCGTAAGACTATATACACACGGAACACATGTATTACAGGGCTGTACCCAGTGTGCTTCATAAAACATTTTTGAAGCTTATTTTTTTAAATTAAGCCGTTTCCATGTTATAACAGCATCTCGTTAAATCAATATCGGAAACAATAATTGTCTTTTTGTGGTTATTTAAATGTAATTTATGGTGCTATTAGAGTGCTTATAGACTGACCCGTTAATACAGATGCCCCCCCCCCCCCCCCCTTTGTGTGCGGTGAGCTGGAGAGAAGGCAGTCTATTTATTTTGGTGAAAAAAAACCCCCTAACATATATGGATTGAATCAGAATATTGTGTTGGATCAAAACATATTGTACATTTTGAGAATTCTTACATCTATTACAATACATTTTGAGCTTTGGACAATGTTTGGATCAAACGAGCCAGAAACAACCTTAAGCAGCCACCACTGGAATATTATTGCAGTAATATCATAATACTAGTAGCCTTATATTAGTGTAGCCTAATATTGATCGACAAATATTTAGAAATAAATCTGGTTCTGCCTGCCTGCCTCATCGCACTATGCCCTGCTGCATTACCATGTATAGTATTTACATTCATAATGATCCTTTTTTGTTGCAGAGCTTTAGAGGCTTTAAGAGACGAACTGTCAATGATGCCAACTTGGCGACCTACAAACTAGATATAGCAATCTTGGAGCTATTGCGGCTAGCTACTTTCATTGGAAAGAGTCTCTAATTTTTTGTATGTATATATTTCATATATCCATCCCAAGCTTACCTACCCAACTGAATGAATTCACACATTCAAGTAAATAGAAAGACAGCACAGCATTCAAGTGTTTATTGAGAATTTGAACTTCAACGTTAATGGAAAAAGCTCCAAACTTTTCTCTACAGCCCTTAGTATCAAGAAATCCTTCTAGTTCCTTTTACATGTGGATAGGAAAACAGCACAGATTGTTCAGAATATATGAGGAAGCCATCAGGGAAGCAGCATGACCCAAGGCAGGACTGCAGAGACAGGTTCAGCCACGACCCGAAGTCCACGACCCGAAGTCCACGACGGGCAGCGTCCGGGAAAACCAAACTTGAAGGTAAGATATCAAATGATGATCTTCATTAATTGCAGTGACAATTTAGTCTATTCTGACATTTGTTTGTGTGAGTTAATCTTTACCTATGATATCTGGTTGCAGAAGGGACTGCAATAGCCTGGATGTTGGTCATCAGAGTAGATGCCCTGCAATTCTCCTCTTTTACCTTTCCCAACATATCCTATGAATAGAAAAAGAAAATATTGTAATTGAATCACACTAGGACCACAACACACTAAATATGTAATGACACATAAACATTATTATCCAGAATAAGAAGTCTACCTGGTTTGCAGTTTTTGTAAGGCTCCAAGCATCCACGGCAGGTGTCAATGGTGTACATGACGTTGAAATCCTGCTTGTATGAAGCAGAGAACAAACTCCATGTAGCAACACCTGTGTAAAACAAGCATTTCAATAGAGCCATTAAAAATATGCATAGACACCACAGCTGTCGTATACTGCTGCACCTTCACTGAATCACTTACTCTCAAGCCAGCGAAAGTGGGCCCCTCTTCTGAAAGACACAGTGGACATTGTGTCTCTGAAGGTGGTACACACTAGAGTGAGTGATGAGTACGCTTTGTCACCTTCCTGGAGAACCACTTCCATCAGAAGGTCCGAGAGAAGACAGTTTGGCAGCTGTGAAGTATTGGTCAGACTAGATCAAACATATTTAACAACACATTGACTAGACTGTTGCCAGCACAATCGAAATACCAAGATTCTTTGGGCTTCAGGTAGCAAAAAGACACATTTTTAATATTAATGTTGAATATATCACACACATTTTTCTTATGTTTTGTTATTCTTCTCCTTGAGGTAAAAAACAGCTATCAATAAAGTTAAAAAAAGCAGTGAGACATAATAGTTGGAAATTCTGCCGTGATCACAGGTCGTTTTTTAAACAAAAAACAGTTACTGCTTCACTGAAAAGATATTACCTCCAATATGAAGCACATGTCGGACTTTTGAAACTGGACCTTTGAAGGAAAATATAAGGTGTGGGTCATGTGATTGTTTAATTACATGTGTATACAATTATCAATATGTATGCATGTGTTAAATAATCTGGATCTGTCCGTGGCTATAAAAATCACATAATATCAGGATGAAAATGTAAATCAGTGTCAAAGAAACTGTTGTCTATAAAGTAACATTTAAAATGTATGATTTACCCTTCAATCTGGTACCGTTCCATGAGCATAATGCACCACCATTTCCGGATCTGTGCTATGTCCCGCTAAAAGAAAATGTAACAATAATAAAGTTGAAAATGAATGGAACCTCATCATTTGTCTACTCAATGTTAGCCCCCTCTTCCCCCTGAAATACTAACTCAGAGGATAAATACTGACCTCGGTAAACCAAAGTAGAGCATCTGTGCTGAAGTTGAGTGCATACTGTGAAAGGATAAAGATCTGTTAAGTTATGAGTTTCAAAAACTAACAAAACCCCTTAAAAAAAAGTGTCAAGGGAGGAATTTACCATCAGTATGAAGACACCACAGTCATTGCCCGTGGTTTGGTGAGGCTAACCCTGTAAGAATTTGGAATATAACAGTGATGTTCATGGTCAAATGGAAAATAAAGACATGTGAAAGCAGGTGTATGAGATGGTGGAGAAATGTACCTTGACGTCTCTGCCGAACTTTACTGTCCACTGACCTGGAGCAATGCGGTGCGCTAGGTCACTGTCAAAAGAAATGATAAGACATGGGAATTGATTTGGTGAAGGAACGCTATACACAATATAATTCATGTTTTTGGATTTCCTTACATTGAACTATTGCATGCCTTAAAAGAGGAAAGTTATGAAAGCCACTGAACGGGGCTAAAATAAAACAAACAAAAATACGTTTACCAGCCGCTGAACAAAGCTGAACTTGAAAACAACCTTTGAACAAGGCTTATAACAAAATGAATATTATAATTCATAGCATCCTGTTGCAGACTCTTTTTCTTTTGGTTCCACTAAGGACACTCCAGACTTTGTGGAAATGGAGATATATTATAAATGAATTTGATCAGATTCAGACCCCTGGTCTACAAGATGGTTACTGCAGTATTAGAATACTATAAACTATTTAGAACTCCCATACAAGCCACAGAACGGTGAGGGGGTAATCATGTTACAAAAACCTAAATATGTCCTTGTAGGAATTGTCCCCAAAGCCATCTGGCTTAAGAGGGTCGAGCAAATATAACTCTCTCTTTGCTGGCTTGATCACCTGTCAACCATTGACAAAATAGCTGAAATTAGACATAATCAAACACCAGAAGAAAACCACACAGCACAACTTATGTTCATTTTGTACATGCTGGTGAGATCATTTGGAACAGACTCACGCAAAGCAAATAGTGATCTGCCTTTCCTTGCTGCCGACTCCAGGCAGGGATGAAAACCATGTCCTTGGTGGCCAATTGGTCAGCCTAGTATTTTAAACAAGGGATTTTAAGTTGCTGTATATCAATTTCAAGAAACATAGGTCTCAAGCAACAGGAACTTACTGGAAAACTGGCCAACACGTCAGCTGTTTTGGACTTCCAGGTAGGAACCACATACATATCCACGATGTATATATCTTTGCCCTATATTGATAGTTTTTCAAAAAAAATGAAATCTTCATAGAAGTATGTTCAACAACAAGAGACAACCACACTTCACGAGATTGGAGTTTCACCACTAAACAGCTATTTAGAAAATATGTGTTATTCAAAAGAAAAAAGCAGGCCAATGATGTCTGTTGAAAACCGTACATGTCTTTGGGTGGCTTCTTGTACCATCTTCAGGCACGTGTTTCCAATCTGAAACAGTAACAACAGTAAGTTACCTGTGCCATTTATTTGAGACAAGATGAAGTTGGGAGGAAAGCTCAAGTATACCTACATTTGACTCCATGCACTGAGGAAGACCCAGGCTCCAAAAGTCCTCTCTGGTCAGGCACACATCACCCTCCTTCACAATGACCTCTGCTCCAGGCCTATTGTGGTCTAGCACATAGCTGAGCTGCAAATAACAGATTGCAAAACATACTTCAAGCCAATAGAAAACATAGAAAAATTAAAATCAAAACAATGCACCTCCATCACTGTGCATGAAGTAAACATATATCTACCAGCTTGTCTTGAATCGGATGTAGATCCTTTGCGTATTTCGCACCAGAGAGGGCATACTGGTGGTCAGCAACTGACCCCTCCGAATCCAACTTCGGTTCAGCTGTTATTAGATAGACACAAAATAAACAGTATTATTGAAGTACCACACATGAAGTATACCTAAAATGTGTCCTTGTATTGATAATCAAAATACCTCTCAACATAGGCCTGATAAAGGGCTTCAGCTGAGACACATTCACACTCTGTCTCAGCTGAGCTCCTGTTGAGCTCAACAGGGTTGCCACACCCTTGTTGGTGATTGAGGAAACCACATAAGGGCCAAACCAGTTGCACTCCAGTTTTCCACCTTTTCGGCCCTCCTTCCTCTTATTCGCTCTTAGGACCTCATCTCCAACGTTAATCAGGAAAGATTTCACATTCTTTCCCTTGCGTTTTTCAAAAGAGATTTTCTGTCTCTGTTGTGCTATTTGGATGTTCTGGTAAATCTGAGAAAGATATGTAACAGTTATCATTTACAGTCCTTAACATACGCTTGCATTTTTTAGGAGTTATTATGTTTTAAATATTGCCATTTTATTCTCACCTTCGAGTGCAAATCTGCAATGGTTGCAGCCTTTGCCTCAAGCTGCTGTTCTGCCTCATCAGCAGGCACCAAAACAGAGGTATCATCCCTGTCATTGACTGTAGCATTTATAACACCCGGGACGCGAGGGTGCCTCCCAAACTGGGCAAAATAGGGCGTGCACTTGGTTGACCTCTGAAAGCATAAAAATTCCTTTTAGTATCTCTGTTGAGTATTGTTTCCATCTGCATTTGTTACAACATTGTACCTGCTTTGAGGTGTTAATGCTCGCCACAATGCCCCTCAGATGTAAATCCCAGTCATTCTGGTCCTCTCCACAGTACTTTGCAAGTGCTTTTTTTATGTTTTGGTTTGTACGCTCATCTTGGCCATTGCACTGGGGATGGTACGCTGAAGTGATGCAGTGTTTTACACCCAGTGCATCAAAAACACCACGGTTGACCTGCAGATGGTTTAGTGTACACCAATTACCAAATTACCTGAAAAATCGTATTACATTGTTACACATAACACATACACTGTATTAGATAGATTATTGTACCTCATTGACAAATTCCCGTCCTTGGTCGGTAATGATCTTCTCGACAAGACCGAAATCGAGAAGAATATTTACAATCTTTTTTGAGACCTCAACAGCTGTTTTGTGGTAGAGCGTTTTTGCTACCACCCACTTCGTGAACAGATCAGTCGCTGTTAGAATGTATCTGCAATATAAAATGCAGAATGTTGTAAATACATACAGAATCACTGTAAATGATTTCCTTTCTTTTTAAACCAGATTCTTCACGTTTAGAACCTTTAAAGGAGGTTACACATGCTTCAGCCCATCATGATAGTACCTTTTGCCCTTAGCAGTGGAGGGAAGTGGGCCAATGAGATCCACACATGTCTCACTCTGTTTCAATGTACACATACAACACATTTCTGTAGATCAATAATCAGTCAGTCAGTCAAAAACTCCCACCCATTTCTTCACGTCCTCCCGCATAGTGGACCAGTGGTACGTTGCCAAAACCTTCTCGGTGGTGCGCCTTCTCCCTGCATGACCTCCGGAACCCAGGTTATCATGGCACTCCTTCAGGACATTGATAATTTGGTCCTTGGTGCACACAACCATCCTCTCATTGTCCTTGTATGTGTAGTACAAATCTCCAGCTGGCACAACAGGAACAACAAAACAATCATTTAGACATGTGTAGAGATGACATTATGACTAAAAGCTGTTCAAGAAATCCAGTGGCAAATGTGGTTTAGACGTAACAACTACAGTAATGTAAAGTGTGTATAAAAAGAAAAAGGAGAAACAAGCTGTGGAGTCCTTGCGATTTACTGAAAAATGTTGGAATTGCAATATGATAAACCATTAGAGGTATGATCACTTTTGCACCAAAAAACACCATTAGATAAATAGATAGATAGATATATACTTTATTGATCCCTATAAGTAAAGGGATGTGATGATGTCACATGTACAGGGGGTTTATACCTCATAATAAAAACGTATGTTCGTGACTTAACCATGGTCTTATTCTGTTACTTACCTTTGATCAGGTATTGTTTGGATGCCCTCCGAATTAACGCCTTCCTTTTATCATGCTTTTCAGCGGCGATGGTGAGATTGTGGTAACCACCATTGAGCACGTACTGCTTTATCTCAGCATAAAAGCTCTCCATTTCTGTCATGAAAGTTAAAATGGTCGCGGTAATTATGGGGAAGCGGAGGGATCTAGATCGTTCACACATAACAAGCTGTACCGAGTTCCTCCGGCTGCAGTTCCGCAGACGGCCGGTGTGTGGCAGCATAGCGCTGGGAGCAGAGGGAGGTGAGTATATGACGGATATGACGGATGACGGATGCGACGGAAATACACCCGAACATATTTGGTAGGCCGAACATATCTGGTACTGACACAGGCAAAGGATCAGGGCTCTCCGTCTCTCAGCAGCAACACCACTGTCCATGTTTTTATCCTGGACCAGAACGACAATGCCCCCGCTGTTATTTACCCCTCCTCCGCTGTCCTGGGCTCCCTCTCTCACCAGAGGATGTCCCGCTCTGCTAAAGCGGGTCACCTGGTTACTAAGGTGACGGCCGTGGATGCTGACTCGGGCCATAATGCCTGGATCTCCTACAAGCTGGCGGAGGCCACAGACGCCTCTCTGTTCACTGTCAACCTGTACACAGGGGAGGTGAGGACTAAACGCGCTGCGTCCGAGCAGGACGACTCCTCTCAGAGGCTGCTTATAGAGATCAAGGACGACGGGGAACCGATGCAGTCCGCCACCGTCACGGTGTCCATCCTGCTGGAGGACGGCCTCCATGAGCCCATCTTAGACCTCCGACAGAAAACGGCCGAGCCCAGCAGGAAAACTGGGAGAATCACCCTGTATTTGATTCTCTCTCTGGCCTCGGTGTCCGTGCTGTCTCTGGTGACTTTTCTCATCTTAGCGGTTAAATGCATGAGGAACAGCAGCAGCAGCGGTAGTTGCTGCATGACACGAAGCGACTGTGATAATTACAAGAACCCCAACAGAAACATGCAGATTCAGCTCAATACTGATGGACCTATAAAGTACGTGGAGGTCCTGGGAGGAGACATGATGTCTCAGAGTCAGTCCTTCAGGTCCTGCATGTCTCCAATGTCAGAGTACAGTGATTTCACTTTGATTAAGCCCAGCAGCACCACTGACTTTACGGAGGTGATCAGTGTTCTGGATGCGTCTTTACCCGACAGCACGTGGACCTTTGAGAGCCAGCAGGTGAGCATAATGACTGCAGGTGATGTCCCCATCATATATATATTTTTTAATTCCACATTTAAATTACTTTCTTAATTGTAAGAACTGAAAGCTGACCTGCTCAGTCTGCTTTTTATCAGCTTCGCTTGCTAAATTGTTTACAGCATGAGCACTGTGGTTTTGTTTTTGTTAATTGTACACTAAGTTAATGCTCTTGTAAAATGTCCAATTATTAAATAAAAAAAGCTAACTCAACACCTAATTGAAATGCTCGGACTTCTTGAAATTGCCAAACAGAGTGTGGCTAAATTAATAACAAATACATGATGCAGATATACATTTAAAATATTGCTTTGAGGATGGCAAATGGTTTCATTCATTTTGTATATAAGAAGAACTTCCAGAACTGTATTTAAAGGTCAACTATTATGCTAAATTAACTTTTTCATTCATGTCTTTTACATAAACATCTGTAAAGATATTCTGAAAGTTTCAGGAAAAAAATATTTGCTCACTTTTTGTCCTGATCCATTTATATAAAAACCTGTCTGAAAATGAGCTGATCAGATTTTGGCCACTTTATGATGTTATAACGATGTTTTGGCTTGTGTAACCATTAGCCAATCACCAACCAAGGTAACACCCGCCCACCTTATCACCTGAATCTCCTCCTAGAGCACCATTGTGTTATATTTAACCAAATATCTCGCAGAGGGGCGTGGGGAGGGGCTCCTTATTTTCATCTGAAGTAAAGGACAGAGAATCAGCACTTTTGAAACAGGGCTGAAACCGAGGGGTTTATGGGATGCTAAAATGCACGATCTGTTTGGTGTTTCAGCAAAACACTTCAGAGACATGCTTTGTATATCTGAGATATATTATATATTGATGAAAAACAGTATAATAGGGGACCTTTAATACATGTTTTGTTAGGGAGGATAGGGTTTTATTTGGCTTTTCCCAGTCAAATGTGTTCATGTTATTGTCTGGGAAGGCCCATTGTGTTAGATTTGAGAAATCTCACATGGTTTGAGCAACACAGTTGTAAAACGAGAAGAAAAGCATGGATCATACACCTGTCCAACACGTTCTCACTCTGACCTGTCACTCCCAGCAGTACATGGCTGATGCTCATAAGCGCGTGTCTTTAAAAGCACAATTCAGTCCCTTCCCTATTGGATGTTCGTGATGGATGTGTTCACCAATGGCATACCGAGTCGTACAAAGAGATCTACCCCTCCCCCTTGCAGCCTCAGCACTGTAAACGGTATCAATGCAAAGAGCTCGAGGACGGTGGATGATGCACTCCTATCGCGAGGCTGAAAAGGAAATAGTTAGTTTAAGCTTCAGACATGAATAAAGGTGATTCATGTATTTGTATGGAAATAGCTAATGCTCGTTGGAACTGGATATTAACTTCGGTTTACTCGATGGGAAACCTATTCTAACGGACCGGGGATGACAAAGAGAATATACCGAGACTGGAGATGGCAGGCGCTTTGGTGGCATCATTTCTTTCTATTGTGGACTACAATAAACGGACAGACTCGTTACAGCATCCCGGAGGAACTAAAACAGGGCTCTGTAGTAGGAAATATAGCCAAAGATCTGGGTCTGGGATTATCAGAAATGTTTGAACGTAAACTACGTGTCGCTTCCGAGGCTGGCGAGCAGTATTTCAGTGTGGATGCGGGGAAGGGCGATCTTATAGTGAATGACAGAATAGACAGAGAGGCTTTATGTGGACAAATTACGAGCTGTGTTTTACCTCTGCAAATTATTCTAGAAAACCCTCTCAGTTTACATCGAATCGAGGTAGAAATTAAAGACATTAATGACAACTCGCCTAATTTTCATACAAAAGAGATGTCATTAAACATTTCTGAAAGTGCAGCAGTAGGAACACGTTTTCTCTTGGACAGTGCAGACGATTCTGACGTTGGCAGTAACTCAGTTAAATCCTACGTGTTGACTAAAAATGACTGTTTTATTTTGAAAATGAAGGAAGTTGAAGACGGCAAAACAGTCCCGGAGTTAGTGTTAGAGAAGCCCCTTGATAGAGAGAAGAAATCAGTTCATCAGCTACTACTGACTGCATTAGACGGGGGAAATCCAGTCAAATCTGGTACCTCACAGATTACAATCACAGTGCTCGACGTAAACGACAATTTTCCTGTTTTTGATAAAAGTGTATATAAAGTTACCTTAGGGGAAAATACTGCTAAAAATACGTTTGTTGCAAAGATAGTGGCAACTGATGCTGACGAGGGAACTAACGCAGAGGTTGTATTCTCGTTTGGCTCGCGGACACCAGAATCTGTCTCATCAGCATTTGAAATTAATTCATTAACGGGAGAAATACACTCGAAAGGAGACTTAGATTTTGAAAGAGCCTCGTCCTACATAATTGAAATAATTGCAAAAGACAAAGGGGTTCCCGAAAATGGGGGTCATTGTCGTCTACAGATAGATGTTTTAGATGTTAATGATAACACTCCAGAAATTGTTCTTACCTCTGAACCGCAGCCGGTGCGCGAAGACTCACCAAGTGGCACAGTGGTGGCTTTGATCAACGCACGTGACGCTGACTCCGTTAATAATAGCAAAGTCACATTACGAGTATCAAGAGGTTCTCCTTTTAGTTTGAAACCATCCTTTTCTAATAATTACGCACTGGTTACAAGTGGTGCTTTAGACCGAGAGAGTTTCTCAGAGTATAATATTGAGATAACAGCCACTGATTCAGGCTCTCCTCCTCTGTCCAGTAAGAAAATTATACCTGTCAGCATCAGTGATGTGAATGATAACGCCCCTTTATTCACTCAGCCATCCTATAATGTGTATTTAAAAGAGAATGGGGTGCCAGGCTCTATACTGTACTCAGTATCAGCATCTGATCTGGATTTTGGTGAAAACGCCAAAGTCTCGTACTCCATCTTGGACTCTAAAGTGCAGGGCGTTTCTGTCTCGTCTTATGTTTACATTAACTCAGATAACGGCAGCATCTACAGCATGCACTCGTTTGACTATGAGAAACTGAAGGTGTTTCAGATCGAGGTGCAGGCAAAGGATCAGGGCTCTCCGTCTCTCAGCAGCAACACCACTGTCCATGTTTTTATCCTGGACCAGAACGACAATGCCCCTGCTGTTATTTACCCCTACTCCGCTGTCCTGGGCTCCCTCTCTCACCAGAGGATGTCCCGCTCCGCTAAAGCGGGTCACCTAGTTACTAAGGTGACGGCCGTGGATGCTGACTCGGGCCATAACGCCTGGATCTCCTACAAACTGGCGGAGGCCACGGATGCCTCTCTGTTCACTGTCAACCTGTACACAGGGGAGGTGAGGACTAAACGCGCTGCGTCCGAGCAGGACGACTCCTCACAGAGGCTGCTTATAGAGATCAAGGACGACGGGGAACCGATGCAGTCCGCCACCGTCACGGTGTCCATCCTGCTGGAGGACGGCCTCCATGAGCCCATCTTAGACCTCCGACAGAAAACGGCCGAGCCCAGCAGGAAAACTGGGAGAATCACCCTGTATTTGATTCTCTCTCTGGCCTCGGTGTCCGTGCTGTCTCTGGTGACTTTTCTCATCTTAGCGGTTAAATGCATGAGGAACAGCAGCAGCAGCGGTAGTTGCTGCATGAGACGCAGCGACTGTGATAATTACAAGAACCCCAACAGAAACATGCAGATTCAGCTCAACACTGATGGACCTATAAAGTACGTGGAGGTCCTGGGAGGAGACATGATGTCTCAGAGTCAGTCCTTCAGGTCCTGCATGTCTCCAATGTCATCAGAGTACAGTGATTTCACTTTGATTAAGCCCAGCAGCACCACTGACTTTACGGAGGTGATCAGTGTTCTGGATGCGTCTTTACCCGACAGCACGTGGACCTTTGAGAGCCAGCAGGTGAGCAGACAAAATATGGCCTTTAGTGTAATTTAATATCATTGTTCGCATTTTTAAACATATAAATGACATCCGATCATATGTTTTCATCTCTTAAGCCAACAAATAATCGGTCACAAGACGTTATCTTTCTTTATTCCTTCTTTGTGTTCTTTGTACCTGCAATCCTCCTTAGCCGATAAGTGCTTAGAGTTTCGGTGATATCACCTCCTGGCTACCTATGTAGTTCAAACGTATTTAAGATTCCGTCATTTTATATTATAATTGTGTTCCATTGGCATTGTCAGTTTATAAATGCAACAAATTATTGAGCTTAAAATGTTCATCACTCTATAGACTTCTGTTGGTTGCGTATACTGTCGGTTTGCAAAGAGGATGTTACCTTTAACACTGCCTTATTGTTGTTTGTGCTTTAAAATCCTACTTTTGTAACAATTCAAATGTTCTATAGCTCTATTTGCATAGGGTGAATTGCCCTAATGTGGGACATTTTTTGCGTTTCAGACATCTGGAATATATTGCGATATGAAGCCGATACAATAAATCAAAATCCAGTACCATTCTGAAATCCCCAGGATGTGTCCTAATCAAACCAAAAGAGAAAATGCAGATATTACACTCATAAAAGAAATGGTAGACATATCAGTACTCTTAGTGCCAAGTTGTCTCAGACAATCTGCATTTCCTAATGTGGGACAGTTCTGTGCAAAATGTGGGACACTGAAAAGTCTATGTTAAAAAGCCTCAGTCACCTTAATTCATGTAATAAAAACATCTCAGGTCAGTAACACTCAAAGCTAAATGTGCAATACCATGTTCAGCTATGTTACTTTCATAATGTTATTGTTGTTACAACAGAAGATGTTTTTCTTTAAATTGAAGTTGAATGCATCAATCTGGTGCACTTTGAGGGCAAAATTAAGAGATGTATGGATACAGTTCTCAACAATCATATGAAACAGAACTGTATATATTTCAATAATCAAAAAACCATTAGAATATGCTCACAACCAATAACACATATTTGATAAACTCTTCTCTCCTATCTTTATCTTACCTAGTCTGCATTTTTTATTTTTTATTTATGCATATTCGACTAATCACTCCCCTTTTAAACTGTGTTTTTTTTATATATAGCACATATTGGAATGATGTCTTAACTTAGGCTATTTTTTACAATGTGTGTTGGAAGGATTTATTAAATTACTATAAATGTTTTGGCTTAAATTAATTGTCATCTTTTAAACTCAGACATGTATCCCTAATATTATCCCTGACTTTGTCATATCATTTTAACAGAGATGCAGCCACTCCCAATTATTTAATATAATTTGCCCTTCACCTTAAATATCTAAAATACTGCATTAGAAGACTAAAACCCAGTAAATAACCATTGCTCTTGCACAATCCATGCCCCTTTTAGAACTGTCCCACATTAGGCAAATCATACTGTCCCACTTTGCGAAACATGTTTCCAAAAGTGGGACGATGGAACATTTGATTGAAATAAAAAATATAGAGTATATTTACACCATATTATAATATGTTCTGATGAACAAACATATCATAAACACATCCTGATAAAAAACTTGCAAGATTGTTTTATTTATACGAAATTTAAAACCTTAACATTACATTTGTCAAAACACTATATGTCACGGACCTTTGGGTGGTCTTCACACAGGGTACTTCCTGTTTGAAGGTTTTCCCACCCTAATCTGTGATTGGACATTTGAGAAGTCATGTGATTTTGATCGCATGACAACACAGCTTGTGTTAACCCGTAGTTTCATTGACTCTCATTTGTTTGCGGAAGACCAATTTGAGCTTAGGTGTCCCACATTAGGGCAACTCACCCATTGAGTTACTTCATTATAAGATGTTAGAATGCTCTCCTTTAAGCTGTATGAATGACACTTGGTTTCCGCACCACGGCACCAGACAGTTGGACAGCCACACACTGAACACAGTGTTAACCATGCAGCACATCACTTGTTCCCGATTAATGTCAACAAAAATAAAAACGTGTAAATAACCAGAACCAGGAAATATTTTTTTATTTTATAATTACATTGATTTTGCCTTGAATTGACATTATGGGAAACCTGTAACAGCTGGCATCGTATCATTTATTTCATACACTGGCATATTCAAGGGTGGCTGTGTCTTTAAAAGCTGTGCTCACCCCCTTTTTATTGGATGGTAGAGATGGATTTTGTTAACCAATAGGATTCAGAACTGTACAAAGAGATCGACTCCCTCCCCCATGCAGCTTCAGCTCCGTACCCACTTACATGGCACAGAGATTGACGAGAGGGAATGATGCTTTTCTCTGAATTAACAGAGAATAACATTTATTTAGTTGTTGGTATGAAGCGATTTTTTACCTTTGTTTTGGATTAATGCTGTATGGCAATGGCTGTTTACTATCTGCTTTCCCATCACCTAAATGGGGAATCATTTTAACGGATTGGGGATGACAAAGACAATGGGATACAGAGACTGGAGATGGCAGGCGCTTTGGTGGCATCATTTATTTCTCTTGTGGACTACAATAAACGGACAGACTCGTTACAGCATCCCGGAGGAACTAAAACAGGGCTCTGTGGTAGGAAACCTAGCCAAAGATCTGGGTCTGGGACTTTCTGACATTTCTGACCGTAAACTACGTGTCGCCTCTGAGGCTGGAGAGCAGTATTTCAGTGTCGATGCGGGGAAGGGCGAGCTGCTGGTGAATGACAGAATAGACAGAGAGGCTTTATGTGGACCAAGCGCGATCTGTGTGTTAACTCTGCAAGTGGTGATTGATAAACCGTTACAATTGCACCGAGTTGAGGTGGAAATACAAGATGTTAATGATAATTCTCCACGATTCCCTTCGCAGGAAATAGCATTACAAATAGCCGAGTCGACAGCAGCGGGGGCACGTTTTCCATTGGAAATCGCGCAAGATCTTGATGTTGGAGGAAATTCAGTGAGGTCTTACACTTTAAGTAAAGACGATTTTTTTAGTTTAAAGATAAAGGATATATCTGGTGGGAGGAAAGTCCCAGAGCTAGTGTTGTCTAAATCACTCGACAGAGAAAAAAAAAATGTTCATCAGCTTCAATTAACTGCTATTGACGGGGGAAACCCAGTCAAATCTGGGACATCACAGATAACTATAAATGTGCTGGATATTAACGATAATTTTCCTGTATTTGAACAAAATGTTTACAAGGTCTCTGTAAGCGAAAATACCATACAAGATGCATCTATCCTAAAACTTACAGCTGAGGACACCGATGAAGGTCCCAATGGAGATGTAGAATATTCATTTGGAATGCACACACCAGATATTGTCTCATTAATGTTTGATATTAATTCATTAACCGCGGAAATACGGCTCATAGGGAAATTAGATTACGAAACAATTGCAAATTATGAAATAGACATTAGTGCAAGAGACAAAGGCACTCCAGGAATGGAAGGACATTGTACTATGCACATTGAAGTGTTGGATGAAAACGATAATGCTCCAAACATTCTTATGACATCTCAACCAAGCTCTGTGCCTGAGGACGCACCACGTGGTACAGTGGTTGCTTTAATCAGTGCACGAGACCTTGATTCCGGTGTTAACGGTAAAGTGACATTACAACTCCCTATGAGTTCTCCTTTTAATCTGAAACCATCTTTTTCAGATAACTATGCACTGGTTACCGGAGGTGCTTTAGACCGAGAGACTTTCTCAGAGTATAATATCGAGATAACAGCCACTGATTCAGGCTCTCCTCCTCTGTCGACTAAGAAGATTATAAATGTAAATATTACTGATGTAAATGACAACCCTCCTGTATTCAGTCAACCAAAATATGCAGTTTATTTAAAAGAGAATGGGGTGCCAGGTTCTATACTGTACTCAGTATCAGCCTCTGATCTGGATTTTGGTGAAAACAGCAAAATCTCGTACTCCATCTTGGACTCTAAAGTGCAGGACGTTTCTGTCTCGTCTTATGTTTACATTAACTCAGATAACGGCAGCATCTACAGCATGCACTCGTTTGACTATGAGAAACTGAAGGTGTTTCAGATCCAGGTTCAGGCAAAGGATCAGGGCTCTCCGTCTCTCAGCAGCAACACCACTGTCCATGTTTTTATCCTGGACCAGAACGACAATGCCCCCGCTGTTATTTACCCCTCCTCCGCTGTCCTGGGCTCCCTCTCTCACCAGAGGATGTCCCGCTCCGCTAAAGCGGGTCACCTGGTTACTAAGGTGACGGCCGTGGATGCTGACTCGGGCCATAACGCCTGGATCTCCTACAAGCTGGCGGAGGCCACAGACGCCTCTCTGTTCACTGTCAATCTGTACACAGGGGAGGTGAGGACTAAACGTGCTGCGTCCGAGCAGGACGACTCCTCTCAGAGGCTGCTTATAGAGATCAAGGACGACGGGGAACCGATGCAGTCCGCCACCGTCACGGTGTCCATCCTGCTGGAGGACGGCCTCCATGAGCCCATCTTAGACCTCCGACAGAAAACGGCCGAGCCCAGCAGGAAAACTGGGAGAATCACCCTGTATTTGATTCTCTCTTTGGCCTCGGTGTCCGTGCTGTCTCTGGTGACTTTTCTCATCTTAGCGGTTAAATGCATGAGGAACAGCAGCAGCAGCGGTAGTTGCTGCATGAGAGGAAGCGACTGTGATAATTACAAGAACCCCAACAGAAACATGCAGATTCAGCTCAACACTGATGGACCTATAAAGTACGTGGAGGTCCTGGGAGGAGACATGATGTCTCAGAGTCAGTCCTTCAGGTCCTGCATGTCTCCAATGTCATCAGAGTACAGTGATTTCACTTTGATTAAGCCCAGCAGCACCACTGACTTTACGGAGGTGATCAGTGTTCTGGATGCTTCTTTACCCGACAGCACGTGGACCTTTGAGAGCCAGCAGGTGAGCAGTGATTAGGACAAACAATGGCTTATACAATTGTTATGACTATTAAGATTCAGTAAATGCAAAGAAAGCACCTATTTGACTTATACTTATAACAAGGTAATATATCCTTAAAATCCTGGATATGGAAGTCGATGTATTTGAAATGTAAATGTAAATATGATATTCATATATAACTCAAACTGTGTAACTTTTGTGCCACAGTGGCTATTGAAGTTTGACCTGAATAGTGTGTTTGGTGTTGAAAGGCCTACAGAGCTGATCGTTTCAGAACCACAGGAATGGACAGCGACAACGACTCATGGGGCATACCAACCCAGTCTCATAAAAAAACGTGTAATAACTACGTTGGTCCACAACGTAGGATGTAGTATTTCTCCAAAAACGCCTCTGAAATTGTAAAATACCTACGTTTTTTTTCACCATTCATTCCAATGACTGGCGTCTATGTCACGTGATCTTCAAATTTCTCCCTGCAGAAAAAAAAAACATGGCCGAACTTCGTTTTATTCTCGGTGTAAAATGCCTATTTTAAAGTTAGTTTGGCCATTAAAATGCGTTTTGATGTCATTTGATGCGAGAAATATGAGTTGTTATTTCAGATTATGTGTGCAGTGGATGCACATGATCTTTAGTTTGCTAGTTATTACGAAGATTACTTCAGGAAATTGTGTCTATACAACGTTTTCATTGTCACCAAGGTGGTTGCTAGGGATGCTGCTATCAATATTATTTCTGTTATGTTGTGTAACTGTTTAATGGTGTTATCTTTATTGCTACCCCCTTCCCCGTCAATGTATAGTGTTGGTCCACAGCGCAAACGTATTAGTTCAAAATCCGCATCTAAAATTGTGGCATAGATAGCCTACACGTTATGTTCCCCTGTGCAATTCTCCATTTACTCAACAATAACACATAATTATCCTTGTGTTTATTTATTTGTTTGATTAATTAATAAACACAAGTTGGAGTCCGTCAGGACCGAGGGTCGGAGCAGCTCATTTGCTTTACAGAATATTACACCCGGAAGTAAGTATTCTCTCCGCTTCGCTTGACAAACCCTGTGATAGTCCTCAAGCTCTGTGATTGGAGAGTGTGCAGAGCGTCGAACAGCACTTGAAATGGGATGGAACCACGGCAGAATGTCCAAAACTGGATTTGAACGGGTCCACCACGTCCCCCCCTCCCCCACCCCGTCTCCAGAACTACACATGCTGGCTATTCTGTTTCGCAACATGTTTTCTATCT